GCAAAAAAATAAAAATAAAAATATGAAAAATCTTAGAAAAATGGTTAGGTTCAGAATCCCAAGTTTGAGATTAAAAAGATAAGTGTAGCTATTAACACTAATAATGCGCGATTAAACTTAAGCACGCCTATAAATACACAAGGGCACATGATCCTAGGTCAGCTTTTCATCTTCTACGTAGCATTTTCTGAACCTAGGGAGGCAGCCACCTTCTCCCATCTTCTCTCCTCCATTGAAGCTCCAAGAGAGCACCTTCCCACTTAGTTCCTTCACCAAAGTTGCTTATAAGAGTGTGCTCTAGCCATGGGTGGGAAAAAGTCCAGCCATTTCTGAGTTGTGGGTGTTGTGGTGAGTTAGGGAGCTGCTGACTTTGAGGTTGTGAGGTGTGGGAGCCATCTTCATGCCATTTTAAGCTTCATGGTGCCATTTTGATGGAGAAAGGTCCAACCTTGTAGTACATTTTCGTGCTCTTGCAAAGTCAGAACCTTTGAGCCTTGTTAGAGAGCTCCAAGAGCCTATTTTTCTGCTCAGTTTGAGCTCTATAAGTATACCTTGAACATTCTCTTTGAAATTTCATGAAAATAGCTTGTTTATGCTATGAAAAGAGATAACTTTAATCGTTCAAGCTTAGGATTGTTAATCTAGGGTTAATAAGTGTTAATGAACATCTGTTTTGGTTCAAAACTGAATCTTGGATCAATGGGAGCCATTTTCACTTCGGTTTATGCAGAAAAATTCTGCAGAGAACTGTTATGCCCGCGTGGTAATCGATTACTTTTAGTTGGTAATCGATTACCATGTTCAGTAACCGATTACCTTATTTTGTGGTAATCGATTACCATGTTCAGTAATCGATTACCATGTCCATGGTAATGGATTACCCCTTGTGAAAATGACCAGAAACCAATTTTATGTGTCAGAAAGTCCTCATTTGGGCATGATGGCCTAGGAAGTTTGTGTTACTATTGGGAAACAGTGATACCTTTTATTGAGGGACTTAATGCTTGATAATTATTCACTAGAAAAGATGTAAACGAAAAAGGAATTGTTGTCATAATGAAATGAACCTTTAAAGTATGGTTATTGATGATGTTTCTGATATAAACAGATTGTGATTGTGCTGTTTATGGACATTGAGCTAGTGTGAGCTTGGCTTGGATAGTTAGCTTGTGAGGTAAGCTTTCGTGTCCTCGGTTTAGCCATTGTTGGTTCCACCATACCACATGGGGGATGGTTTATATGCATGATGTGTTTTCATGTATTGATTTATTGAAATACTTTTGAGCTGTTAAGTGCAAATGCCTATGATATGTATGTGGTGTTTGCCTAGACGGGATTAAGTTCCTGTGGGCAGGTACGACATTGGCGTGTACTATTGTGGGTTGTAGACGTACGTACATCCTACACTTCCTCTAATCAGTAGAATAGTTAACACACATGACATGATGATATGCTGCATTGCACTGGTTTTGGAACTTATACTGTTAAACTGCTTTTGGAACTTATATTGCACATGTAAGTGAGCTTGGGGTGGAAGATCCTTGAGGACCCCTTGTCTTACTTAGATTTCTGTTTAGAGATCTCACCCCACGTTTGGGGCACCATTTTCAGGTTCAGGTAACTCGGGGGTTAAGACCTCGGGCGGCAGGAGGCCGGAGCTTAGTTGATTGATGTTTATCTGTTTATGCTGATTATGCTTGGATGCTGGATTATGTCTGTTGCTATTATGTGTTTAGCTTCATCTTATGGATTATTGTGTGGAGACTCTGTTGGCTATGTTGCCTTATTTGGTGAGCATGGGGGTTGTCCATGCCACATTGACTTGACTTTATGCTTTTAGATTCGAGTTGTATAATTGTATCAGAATTATGTCTGGTCTACATGTTGTAGTTTCGTGACTTAGATACTCACATATATTTATGTATTCAGATAATTCAGTTAGCTGTCTATTTGCAATTTACATACAGACAATATTTTGAAAGTGATTAAGTAATCAACTTGGTAATTGATAATGACGTCATAATTGAAAAGAAAAAGATATTCCGCAATTTTAATTAAGCGTGGCTTAATATGATGACATGTTAACAAACCGGGTATACACGGGGTGTTACAATAAGTATTCGAATACTTTTGTTCCAAGAAAAGTATCCATACTTTTACTAAACCGGTATCTGCATATTTTTCATGATTTTTCGGGATACTTCATCGGTACGCATTTATACCGTGAGAGAGAACCAGTATCTGCATTTTTCGTCAGAAAAGCGACTTTCAATATTATTAATCGCTTACTATAATTATTTAAGCTTTCTCATAATTATTAGGGTCAATTATAGAATTATTTTCTAAATTCACACTTAATTAATTTAAATTCTTAAATTAACAGTGCGAGTTCTTGCACGTACGAATATATTTTTTTGTAGGTTACAGGGAATAGGACACACAACCACACACTCACACACACCCACACCACTAGGCTAGCCCTAGTGGATCACGTACGAATATATTGTGTGTGAGTGTGTAATTTTTTTTAAAGAAACATAAACTATAATTAGATTATATCTATAATTTTTTAACATTATTTCGTATTTTATTAGACCTAAAATTTTGTGTATTTGAATTAGTTTTTTAAAGATTTTTTTCTTTCAAAAGTTACTTTTTATAACTTAAGAAATAACTGAAACAATTGTTTGTCAATTTTACTCTTAATTTTCTAAAAAAAAATTAACTAATTAGCATGAAAATTTTAAAACATATTTTTAATTAAAAAATAATTTTCTTAAAAATTGCACGATTAAAATGGTCTACATTTATGTAATAAAAAATATCACAAACATGGATGAGAACTTTTGTCGTTTGCTCTATCCAAGATTGTCTCGATCAGTAAACACAGTTATATCTTAATGGAAATGAATCCTCCCTGATAAAATTTTACATGAAAAGATCATTTAAAATTTTTATGTGTATCTATTTCTTTATTAATGTTGACAAATTATAATTGAATCTCACTTATTTAATGCATATAAAAAAAAATTCACAAGACGATGTGAAATTTTAATATGAGAAGATTCATTCCCTATCTTAATAGATTACAGCAAATAGAATTATTAAATGATTTAATGTTTCTACTTTTATTACACAATTTATTTTTTTTTGTCACATTCACCTAAAAAGAATAAAATAGCAACCAGACAAACATCCACCCTAGATTAAAAGCCTTGTCTACCCAAAAATAAATGAAATGATTTATTTCTATAAATTTAAATGATACATGCTCTATTCCTATCCCGTTTTCGTATGTTTCGTCTTCATTTTAGGTAATGTCAATTTACGGGATCCGTAAAGCTGTTCGTAAATATCATGCATCATTTTCCTATCACGACGCTGGAGGTGCGCTATATATATGGGACTACCATGTTACAAGTGAATACATTTATAAAAAGGGCTTTATTTGTCTTCTGTTAGGAGGTGTTTGGTTGAGGAGAAATTTTTATGAATAATAGAAAAATGTGATGGATAGGGAAATGGTTGGAATGTGAGTTTGGTAGGAAAATATAAAAAAAGTTGTTTGGTTTGATAAAATTTTGATGGGGAAATTAGGTAACTTTTATGAAGTCTATGTTTGGGTGTAGGTAAAATATAGATAGGAAAAATAATTGATATTACAAAAATAACCCTGTATTTAAAATTTTTTCAATTGGTCATGCTGCCCTTAACCCGTTCGGGACCGTGTTTTTCATCCTCACAGTGAACGAATACAAAATATATTTTGTTGAAGAGCATAAAAAGTTACACCGCCATCACCCGAAGGACGCAGAACTCAGAAAAAAAAGGAGCAAGTTCTAAAGGAAAGCTGTGAAAAAAATTTGCGAGTTAGAAAACAGAAAAAGAGACAGAAGAGATGCAAGAAGAAGACACACTGTTTGCCATTACTTAGAACTATCACTAAAAGACCATCCACTATTGTGCTTCATCGAAAGCCCCCACATCATCTTGTCATCGCCGTCGAGTGGCCTTTGCGCTATTAGAGGTTGGAGGGGTCTTTCACCAAGGAGTAACACCCTATTAAATCTGAATATACAAAGATTCAAGATACCTCTGCTAAGTCATTTGAATTCACGGGAATAGTATGAGAAATAAAAATAGGAATTTGAGACGTTGAAACTTTTTGGCGGTTTGTGATTAGAATGCAGATTTTGCAGACATCTACGTATGCCACTTGCAGACAGCTACGAATACAAAATATACCGTGTTGCCAAGCTCCTTTCGCGCGCTTAAAGTGAGGATAAGCTCGTCTTTTGCATAGAATGGAGTATGACCAATTTAGGCTGCTTTTCATGAATACCATCCTGTCATTGGGTTTCTTTAGCCGGCTAAATAGAGGGAGATACATATGCAACATGGTTTGATAGGAAACTCATTTAGGTAGGTAAGTTTGACAAATCCTTCAACCAAACATTGTTAGCTTAGATGCCTATGAATTATTTCCCTATCAATCTCAACCAAATCCTTAAACCAAACACCCCATTACAGAAATTTTTTATCTCCAGCGATAGATACAAGTGAGCAACGGGTCCCATTAAAAGAAAAAAAAAATATGAATGGACCCACAACTTTTTAGGTCTGCAGGAAAAAGTATTATCTCCTTTAGAAGGAGACTAATAGATCCCTTATAAAAAATAAATAAATAAAAATGAGAAGTTGTTTCCCCATAAATAAAATAAAAAGTGAAAGCTTTCTATTCTTTTATTTTTTTTTCCCTTCGAAACTCGGTTGAATTAAGAAAAGCAAAAAGAAGAGCAAGACGTTGAAATATAACGATACAAAAAAGATCTGTACATTCTTTTAAGCAGCTCAAAGATATGCTAACTTTTATACAAAATAAAAAAAGATATGCTAACTTGGTTGTTGAATGTAAACTACATAAAAATCAGTCCTTGATGGTTGAGAGCAATTCTCATTTGAATTTATCATCAAAATTTCAATAACATGTAACACACGTTGTCAGTGGCAAATTTAAAAGCATAACAAAATTTTAGAGAAAAAAATATTGCCAATAAAAATAGAAGAGAAGATGAAACTTAGAAAGGAAGCAAAACCACGAAAAAGCAAGACTGGCATCATGCAGCTAAGAGGGAAAAAGATGATGCTCTTCTAAAATTAAAGGTAACGTGTCTTGAAATATGACTAGCGATCACTCTCCGTCATTCTTTTTGTCTACACTTTCCTGACCTGGATATTGTGAGTGGATTGGAACCTCCATATGGGTTGCCTACCACTTTGCACAAGTGCCACTTCTTCTCCTTGCTTCACCATTCCTTGCTTCTGCACATCAAAACCATTCAAATGTGATCATAAAGAAACAAGAATAGATAGGGCAATGGTAAGATAAGCCTTAGTTTAAGCAGTTTTGTGCGAGTACTCTCTTAGTGCAGAAGAATTTATTCAGTTAGTGGCATCCCAGAAAAAATTCAGCAATCACATTCAAAGTGTATTTGACTAGTTAATGATTTTCATGTAATAGCCACAAATTTAAACAATGAAATCATAAATTGAGTTTATATTCAGTACAAGTTTAAGAATCCATTTAAAAGAATTGCTTTTTCTTTGATGGTCAAAAGCCCATAAAAAGGAATTGGAGAGCCAAGTGTCCCTACTCACTAGTTGCATAGCACAAAAAAATGCCTGTCAAAATCAAGGTTAGTTAATAGAATCAGTGGACATTCCCATAGTTAATAACCAGTAGCTAGAAGTTCATACAAAGGGCCATTTTTAAAGTATAACATGCATGAATAGACCCAGACACAATTATATCTGGAATTGTATCAGGAGGGGGAAATCAGGGAGTGGATCCTCTTTATGCGTTGGTTAATATGACCATGTCATGTGGGAAGATCCTAACCATTCATGGGTGAATCAATGGTGATGGGGAATGAGAGAGAAAAAATATTAGAATAAAGAGTGACAAGATCATGACCATTGATTTGCCCATGAATGGTTAGGATCCTTTCACATGACATGATCATGTGAACTAACGCATGACATGATCCATTTCCAGGAAACCATATGAAGATTTTAAAATCGGTTAAAACTTCAAACCGCCATTTATCATGTTACTTGTTAGAACTTAGAAGTACTTTGAACCCAGTTAGGAAATAACTCAACCACTGTATACGTCCCCAAAACATTACCTGCAGCAAATCCAAGGCTCTTGTGAAAGTCTCTTCAGCATCATCACCGAATTTCATGTATATAGGACAGACTCCTTGATATAAAGCCAGCCTTTGTTGTACCCTCTTCCTGAAAGACCAGCAAAATCAGGTAGATATTAAATCTGTCATTCTATTAAAGAAGATACATGCAAACTGATTCACATTTTTTCAATACATATGTCAACAAAACAAAAGAAATCAACTCATAGGTAAACTGCTACTTTTAACAGCTTCTGGAAAAGCATAACAGTTATAAACATTTAAAGAAGTTTATTCATAAGATATATTTTCTGGAAATCCTTTCCCTTATTATGTACGGATATTTTCCCAAAATTTTCAAAAAAACCAAGTTTTCTTATCAATAAGGGAAAGGATAAAAAACGAACTCACTCATCTGTAAAAGCAAATATGGTTCCGGAAGGACGATAGTGGCTCAGTAGGATAGCCATGAAACCCGTTCTAGTGAAGACAACAGTTGAGGTTCCAAGGGTGTTAGACATCATGGTTGCATGGTATGCAAACATCTCGCTCATGTGATTCTACATAGGACCATACGAAAAAAGATTTACAGATTTTATTGGTGACAATCAAATGAGAGTGCAATGGATACAATAAAATGATCATTGTGGCAACAAGATAGATCAACGTGAAACCTTGAACACTTGACCGATATTAGGTGGCATTTGACCAGCTGGTATGGTGGCTTCTGTCCGTAATGCCACTGTATGCATTACTTTCACAGCTTTTAGAGGGAACCTGCATTATAATAAATTGAATCATTCTGGTTGGCTAGATAATGAAAACAATCAATCAATTGCATTATTTTCATAGTATCAGTTCATGCCCCTGCTTATTTATAAATTTAGAGACATTTCCAGTTAAGGCCCTGAGTTGTCCACAAGGTCACTTACCTGCTACTACTAAAATACAAAGACACAATACTCAAACATTTAAAGTCGCATATACTTACCCTCAATAATGCACAATATTAAAATCCCAAACTATCTTAAGGTAACACTAACTTTTGTTAAGACCAACTTCTCTTTGCTTTTTTTGTATTTTTGGTGCTTAACTGAGTGATTAACTTGTATGAACTCAAATAGGAGATATATAACAAAAAAAATATTTAATACTTGTGTTATTTTGCCTTTTTTGGCCTGGGAGAAGACCATAGAAGAAGAGAAAAAGGTTTGAACAGGAAGGAAAAAAATGTCTCCAGGCCTTACCGAGACCTACTCCCTAGACTAGCCTTTCAAAGTAATTGGGCATGTGGGGACAGCGAAAGCTATTACTTACTTTCCATGAGCAGTTTCTCCAGACAACATTATTCCGTCAGAACCTTCTCGAACAGCGATTGCTATATCTGACACCTCCGCCCGTGTTGGAGTTGGGTGAACAATCATGCTTTCCAGCATATTTGTTGCCACAATAACAGCCTTTCCCATGCTACGGCACAAGCTGATAATCTCTTCCTGCATTAACACGCATTATGGATGTGAAGATGAGCTCAACGACCAGTTACATAAATAATACCAATTGATACTTTTCTTTATGCACTGATTTCTCAGTTCTTTTGAAAAGGAGTTTACCTGCAAAAGTGGAACCTCTTCAATAGGGAGCTCAGCACCAAGATCTCCTCTGGCAACCATAGCCTAAACAGGAAGGCAAAAGTACACAGGTCAACATCAACAATCAATAAAGCAGTACGCCACAAAAACCACTAAGCAAAATACATTGAACTGTAAAGAAGATTTTTGTATTTACAATATATTCTAAATCGCCCACACAATCAAGCAGAAAGCATAAAGAAATAATGCAAGGATAGGGTTAGCACCCCATCAGACGCAGTGATAATTGAATGCAGGTTTTGTATAGAGTCGGCACTTTCAATTTTTACGATGACATGTATATCAGCACCACAGCCTGCAGTATTGAATGGGAAGATTATCATATTTATGATTTAAACATGCAGCAAAGTAATCAGATAAATTTTAAAAAGTATTTTTGAATTTTTTTTAATATTTACTCTTCAAATACTTCTTCAGTTCATGAACGACTTCAGCATCCTTAACAAAGGAAACAGCATAGAAGTCAACTTGGTTATCCACTCCAAATTTGATATCATCCCAATCCTTTTCTGCAACAAATAAATGTGAAGATTATATCCATAGGAAACCACCATAACATCAATCCCACCAAGTACCCTCACACATAGAGGCATGCAGAAAGAGATAGACAATAGAAAATCATCAAGAATGGGATTAATAATCTGAACTCTAACCAGTGATTGAAGGCAGCGTGGCACTTTTTCCTCTAACATTCAAGTGTCTCCTTGACTTGAGCTCGCCTCCATCAACAACTTCACATTTCACAGAATCCTGTGTCTTAGACTTAACCACCATGGACATCATACCGCCTATATCATACATCAAGAATCATTAGTTCATCGAAGCATTATTCACCTAGAGCATACATCAAAGAGTGAGCAAAATTGCCTTTTCACCTTAAACTTCCACCATTTTTTAGAATAAAAAGACAAGGTATCCTATAACTATAAGAGTGCTAAATAAGTTGTTGACAGCGTTGAACATTTTATCTCCCCTATCAAATTCTTCATTAGAAAAACATCATCATTACATCCTTCAACAGTTTGGGTTATTTTATATGTTGATTGAAACTTATGTGAGAAAAATAAATTATAATTAAGGCCCTATGGATCTAAACAGCATGCTATGACCTGTCCTCCACAAACGAGGGTGGAAGGCAGGATAACAGGATCCAAACATGTTTGTTTCAAACTTAATAATGAAAGTATACAATAGATTGCAAGACATGCAATGATGCAAATGCTCTCTGATACGATCCTAGTCAGCAAAGAATTTAGAAGGGTGTACAAAAGAAAGAGAAGCGGGGGAATATTGCATAATGCTAAGTCAGCAAAAGTTGTTAGGAGTGGAGATTATGCAATATTCCCCCGCTTCTCTTTCTTTTGTACACCCTTCTAAATTCTTTGCTGACTAGGATCTTATCACTCTCATCCTTAAACCAGAACATGTTTGTTAGATCAAAAAGCTATCCATGTATCTCAATTATAAACAGATCAAAAAACAAAGTGATAACATTTTCACCAGAAGGTGTCTTTGGGAGACCAATTCTAAGAATACATTATTTTTATAATTACCAGCTTTGCCCCCCATTGCAGGACAAACTCTTCCATAAACTACACTACTCCAGTGTTTGAGTTTCTGACTTATCAATCCAATGAGGATGGCACAAAGTTTTAAGTAATTTTCACATTTTAATTGATAATTTCATTTCATAACCATACCATCAACCAGAAGCATGTCCCCCACTTCCACATCATTGACAAAATCATCATAGTTGACACTAACACAGTCTGCAGTTCCAACACCTCTCTGAATAGTAAAAGTGAATTCCTGCCCAGGTTCTAAATTAATTGGCTGTGGCAAATCCCCACTCCTAACCTCAGGACCCTGAAAAAAAAAAAAAAAATATCAGAAATCACAGAAACAAATACTCTTGATTTGAAAAGAATAATTTTTTAGATAAATTGTGTATAAGCTGCACACTTTCTCATGTATATTTGGATTTAGCTTATTTTGTGGGAACAGTGACCATTTTGCCACGCCTGGCAAAAAAATTTACCAGACTGCCACGCCAACAGTAAATTTTGCCAAAATGCCACGCGGCATATTTCGCTACACTGTGTAGTGAAATATGTTTGCATATAATTCGCTACACAGTGTAGCGAAATATGCCATGTCAGGACACGTGTCATTTTTGCTGACTGCACAGCCTGACATGGCATATTTTGCTACACTGTGTAGCGAATTATATGCAAACATATTTCACTACACAGTGTAGCGAAATATGCCGCGTGGCATTTTGGCAAAATTTACTGTTGGCGTGGCAGTCTGGTAAATTTTTTTGCTAGGTGTGGCAAAATGGTCACCCTCCCTATTTTGTGTTCAAAACAACTTATAATCAAAATTTCAATGAGAGCTTTTTTAATTTTTATTTTTTAAAAAAGCAATTATTCTCACAAATTTAATCAAAACCAAACAATATAATTCTTATTATAGCTGAAATACGGATGTTAAGGTGAATGTGTGGTCTTACAAAGATGGAGATGATAAGAAATGGAGATATCAAAGAGTACGAGTAGCACCGGTGGCAGAAAAGACGAGCGAACATAGATTAAGATTGTTTGGGCATCTTCTTCGAAGACCCCTAGATACTCATATAAGAACAAAAGTTTGTTACTAAGAGCAAGACACAAAGAGAGGAAGAGGTTGGTCGAGACTTGCTTGTGGGAAAGTAGGAAAACAAAACTTAAGGAGTGGAAAATAGATTGGAGTACTATTTGTTTTAGGATGGAATGGACGAAAGTCATTAGCATTGGGGGGGGGGGGGTTAGATTTGTTATTTCCAATGTTTTGGATGGCCATTTTTAGTCCTTTTTCCCTTTACTTATTGTCTTATTTTTCCTGATTTCTATTTATTTCATTTTATTTTTACTATTTATTTGTATATTTCCAATCTATTCTAGCTTTTTATTCGGTTCATCGAACATCGATCCCAACTAGTTTGGGATAAAGATGATTTTGATATTGCTGTTGTAGTTAACAGCGCAACTCATTCAATGAAGGTGGGTTTTAGACTTTTAGTGAGGCTGAAACCAAGAAGTTGGCTCCATGTAGGCTATCGGCCACTATTGCATCCCATTGTGGTGCTTCGCACCACAATATAAAGTGCTCTACTACAAGCATTCAGGAAGGGCACCATGGTCTGCTAAGCTGTTATAGCAGCTATTATGCTTGCAATTGATAACAACCTTGTTTAAGATAAGATTAGGTGATAGGCTTCTGTTTGGTGTAAACCCATTATCTCTTTAAGGGGGTACCCTAAAGAGATATTCAAAGGGACAGGGTGGCTTTGCGCCAATGATGTTTTCTCTTTCTTATTTGTTTTATTTCCCTTTTTTTTTGGTGCGGAGTACCCCTTAGGCTTTGGTCTATTCTTGTACTTTTCTTATCTACGCCTTAATGAGTTTCTTTTTATTAAAATAAAATCCTAACAAAGACCTATATACAAATATATCACATTCTCAATTTCTCATTTGTTAAAGAAAGGGGACAAATTGAAATTATCACCCAGCAAATAGAAGTAAGGCAAGCCCAGTATAGTTGGAGTCACGCATGCATGTGGCATCTGGTGCTGTAAAGCTACCGCACTGCATAGGGTTCAAGGAAAGGTTTTAATAGGCAGACTTACCTTGCATTTGCAAGAGGTATCAAACTCATTGTACCATAAAATCATGGTACCGACAACAAAATAAATAAATAACAATAAGTGCCTACTGATATTTGTCAGCTACTTAATCACTGAGCAAAGCACTGACATTTGAGGTTATGATATTTTACACCAAAAAAGAGCACCATTAATTTGTGGCATGAGTAAATAAAAATGCAATCTATATGTAGACCAAGTCATTATCGGGGAGGGAGCCACTCCTACCTTGTCCCTTTGTGAAATACAGGAAAGAGAGGGACTAGTATCAAACAAAGTAGCCCCTCACATTTGCCTTGCATGTTCTCTCCTATAACAAGCCAAACTACAACTTAAACAGTACAATGTATTGAATGTACTTATAAGAGAAAGACATAAATGAAATTATTTATGAGGAGCATTGTATCAATCAGTCATGGTATGCAGGAGATTTCATATTTTCACCTACAAGCTTAGTTACAGGTAAGACTAAGAATATGAACTAGGCATACCCTGTCATATTATCTCATATAGTTTAATCAATAATTCAAACTACTTTTCGCCTAGAAAATTTAATCAACACCAATGAAGAGGAATACTAAACACCATCTGTCATAATCATCATGGAGGGTGCTGCAACGAAATGCCAAAAGAACTAACAAGAAAAATGGAATCCATTTCATTGCAGCACCTTCCACGATGGTCATTATACAAGTCATCTCATCTCCTGTATGTAGTATATTACACCCAAAATTATTGATCATACCTTTTGTCTGTAGGGATAATGCATGTACCAATCAAACTTGAAAAAAAAGTTAAAATTTCATTTTAACCAGTGTGTCTTTTTGATAGGGACCCTAAACCAGGAAGAGAGGTGATGGACATCCATGGAAGCGAGGGAGGAGAATACAAGATAAAGGGACCAGAGAGGAAGAAGAACACGCAACTGAGGAGGGGTGACCGAGTCAAGCTTCCAGCTAGGTGGCCCAAGGATTATGTGCTTGATACACGTGGGTAGGATGTGTCAAGGAAGTATTCGACCGCTCAGTGTGTGGCTGGGCTGAGTGTAATAAGTCAGCAAGTATAACTTGGGCTGAATATAATAAGTAGGACTTGATGTGTATTGGGCCACTTCGTTTTAGCCCATTATCCATGTATTTCTGTTTCAGTATAATAGGTGGGAAGGAACGGTGAGGGGGTAGCTAAAACCTTGTAACAAACTTGTTTTCTTCTTCATCTCAACTTCTGGAGTAATCAGCAAACTCGAATTGCTGAAATATAATATACGTTGTTTCTTTAATTCCTTGTTCGCGTGTGAAGTAATAGCTTGAGGCTATCATTTTGGTGCATTCACTGAGAGGCAACTTCTGATCTTGACCATGGCAGAAAGAACTTGCAGCACTGTTAAGCAAGGTGCAATCGATGAATGCTTAAATCGACTGGCACATCATGACGAGCAGTTTAATGCACTGGGTAACCTGTTGAAGGAAATGAACATGAAGTTAACCTTGGTGGAAGCCAAATTGGACCAGAATCAGAAAAATAAAAATAAGACAGAAGGAACATCACAGGGAGGATTGGGAGATTTATTCGGGATGAACGCATTCAAATCCGTGAAACTAAGCATACCTCGTTTTTCTGGTGGTAATCCAGAGTCGTGGATCCATAAAATCCAGCAATTCTACGGGTTTCACAACCTCACAGATACAGAGAAATTCACGTTAACATCCTTCCACATGGATCGATCTGCAGAGGAATGGTACCATTGGATGGATCGCAATGGTAGATTAAGAGCGTGGGAACAATTTCTGGTGGCATTACGCGCCAGATTTGGACCTTCTCGCTACCGTGATCTGAGAGGAGAATTAGGACGTCTGGCTCAAGTGACAATTGTTGCTGAGTATCAAACACAGTTCGAGCAATTGGCTAATCAGGTGATTGGAATCGATGATGTAAGTCTCCAGAGCTATTTTGAATCTGGGCTCAAACCAGAAATACGTAAAGAGATTCGTATGCATTTACCTGCAACTTTAGAGCAGGCTATTGACTTGGCAAAGTTAGTTGAAGATAAGATTAATGATAAAAGTCCTATAAGATGATTTAACAACAGAAACACTTTTGCATCTGGAGGAGTGAACCAACCGGGGCTTTTACCTACATCCCAACGTCTAATGCTCTGAGCACGGCAGTAAAGAAAGAAAATATACCCATCAAAAGATTGACTACGGCAGAAATGGCAGAGAAAAGGGAGAAAGGGTTGTGCTATTATTGCGATGAAAAGTTTAACAGGACCCATGTGTGTAAGGGGAAAATGTTCATTCTGGTTGTACAGGATGAGGGAGAAGAATCAGTGGGCATTCATGCTCATGAATTGGGGCTGGAACACGAGGTTACTAATGAGAAGATAGGAGGAGATGAAAGAGAGATTAGCTCCATACCAGAGATCAGCTTACATGCCATGGCTGGTCAACACTCCAATAGCACCTTACGGGTGAAAGGGAGAATCAATAATACAGCAGTTCAAATTCTGGTGGAAGGGGGATCGACCCACAATTTCATACAAGATCGATTGGTCAAATTCTTAGGCCTCGAAACCAGACCAACCCATAAGTTTCAAGTCTTGGTAGGTAATGGAGAGGTGATGAATTGTCTAGGGGTGTGCTCTCGAGTTTCCTTAGATATTCAAGGCCATGGATTCTGTCCCGATTTGTATGTGTTACCTATACAGGGAGCTGAAGTCGTTTTGGGTGTACAATGGTTGTTCGAATGGGGGGATGTGACCATCAACTACATACAGTTGGTGATGAAATTTGAGAAAGATGGCCAGCTAGTGGAAATCAAGGGGGAGTCCAATGTGAATATGGAAGCCATTCAACTGAATCAATTGCGCAAGCTGACTTCATCTCACTCAGTTGCTTACTTGTACCAGTTGCAGGCTATAGAACACACCAGTGAAAATTTGCAATATGCGGACCAGGAGTTAGATGGCCAGGTACAACAAGTCTTGCAGGAATTTGCAAATTTATTTGAGAAGCCATCCAGTTTACCCTTTTCCGCGAGGAAGATCACCGAATTCATCTGGTACGTGAAACCACAACAGTTAATGTCAGACCATATAGGTATCCCCATTTTCAAAAGACTGAGATAGAAAAAATGGTCAAAGATATGATGGAGTCAGGAGTGATCAGACGTAGTTTAAGTCCTTTCTCGTCTCCTGTCTTACTAGTCAAGAAGAAGGATGGGACCTGGCGGTTTTGTGTGGATTACCGAGCCCCCAATCAGGTGACAATAGCCAACCGGTTTCCAATCCCCACTGTAGACAAAATGCTGGATGAACTATCTGGAGCCACAGTGTTTTCCAAGTTGGATCTGAGGTCCGGCTACCACCAAATCCGAATGGCTGAACAAGATATCTATAAGACAGCATTTCGCACCCACGAAGGCCACTACGAATTCGTAGTCATGCCTTTTGGCCTAACCAACGCACCAGCTACTTTCCAGGGAATCGTGAACTCGATACTTAAACCTTTCTTGAGAAAATTTGTAACTGTTTTCTTTGATGACATTTTGGTGTATAGCAGGACCATATTGGATCATTTGGGACACCTACGGGCAGTGCTTAGTTGTTTACAGGAGAACCAACTTTATGCAAAAAGGGAGAAATGTTCATTTGGCCAATCGGAGGTGGAATACTTGGGACATGTGGTTGGAGCCACAGGAGTACGGCCAGATACAAAGAAAATCAGGGCTATCACAGAATGGAAAACCCCCACAACAGTGAAGCAATTAGAGGATTCCTGGGGCTGGTCGGGTACTATAGGAAGTTTGTTAGGGGCTTTTCTCAATTGGCAGCACCCTTGACCACACTTCTCCAAAAAGATGGCTTTCAGTGGAATGACAGTGCAACCAAGCTATGCAACAGCTGAAAGAGGTCCTCTCTAATCCACCGGTATTAGCCTTACCGGATTTCAGTAAACCCTTCGTGCTTACCACAGATGCATCAGGGATTGGAATTGGGGCAGTTCTCAGCCAAAACAATCAGCCCATAGCTTATTTTAGCCGCAAGCTGTCAACAAAAATGCAGCAGTCATCCACTTATGTTAGGGAATTATTTGCCATAACATAAAGTGTTGCAAAATTTCGTCAATACCTGTTAGGCAGTAAGTTTACAATCAGGACGGATCAGCACAGCATCAAAGAGTTGATGGCTCAGGTAATTCAAACGCCGGAGCAGCAACGCTTTCTGGTGAAGCTCTTGGGGTTTGATTATACCATCGAGTATTATCTAGAGGCTGTTAACAAGGTGGCGGATGCGTTGTCCAGAGTTCATGAGGGAGCGAAACATGAGGAGCCAGAGCAGCACTCCCTACTCACATTGACCACATTAATCAACCCACTCCTGGACTCCATCAAGGTTGAGGTCACGAACAAATCCGAGTTAGTTAGATTGGGAAAGGCAATCCAGGAGCAGAAAGAAGGCTACGAGCAATACTCTTTTAAAGAAGGGTTGATTTTCTACAAAGGCAGGATTGTTTTAGCCAGCACATCTGACATAAAGACTACCTTGTTGCATGAATTCCACTCCACGGTAATTGGCGGTCATAGAGGAGTCAAAAAAACACTACATCGAATTTCCACGCACTATTTCTGGAGCAACATGAAGCAGGATGTTCAGGAGTTCGTGCGCACCTGCCCTGTGTGTCAAGTTACTAAATATCAGCCTTTGTCTCCTGCTGGCCTTCTCCAACTGCTAGCTATTCCACATGCTGTATGGGAAGATTTGTCAATGGATTTCATAGTTGGGCTTCCCCAATCTGAAGGAAAAACAGCCATCATGGTGGTAATGAACAGGCTGTCCAAGTACGCCCATTTTTCTGCCTTGGCCAGTAACTTTACCGCTTCAAAAGTGGCTTCAGTATTCATTTCTGATATCTGTAGACTCCATGGAGTGCCTCGGTCAATCGTGTCAGATAGGGATCGCATTTTTATCAGCAAATTCTAGCAAGAGATATTCCGATTGAGTGGTACCCGTCTTCATTTCAGTACCGCGAATCACCCTGAAAGTGATGGACAGACAGAGGTCACTAATCGAGGTTTAGAGCAATATTTACGCTGCTATACAATGGAGAATCCTCAGAGTTGGGTTCAGTACTTATGATGGGCAGAGTTTTCATATAACTCTTCCTATCATTCGTCCATCGGATCCACTCCCTTCCAGGTCCTCTATGGCCGTTTACCCCCTGCTCTGCAACCGTATGATGGAGAGTCTTCTCAGATTGAAGCCGTGGAGACCCTTTTAACACAGAGGGATGTTATTATCCGCCAAATCAGGGAAAATTTACACCGGACTCGTCAGAGTATGAAAAATCAAGCTGACAAGCACCGCTGTGACATCCAGTACGCGGTGGGAGAGCAAGTTTTGGTCAAGCTCCAGCCTTACCGACAGAAATCAGTCAGGAACCAGACATTTTCGAAGCTCCGTCGAAGGTATTATGGCCCTTTTCTTATCACCGAACACATCGGAGCGGTTGCTTATCGCTTGGCACTCCCTGAAGGATCGAAAATACACCTTGTGTTTCACGTATCTTTACTCAAAGCCTTCAGACAAAATCTGTCCTTTCATCCACAACCGCTACCAATAGAGACCTGGGAAAATCACCCAGTGACAGATCCGCTTGCCATAGTGCGTTCTCGGACCATTTCAAGTGTTAAAGGCTAGGACTTGCAGGTTCTAGTCCAGTGGCGAGGACTTCCGCTTGAAGACGCGTCGTGGATGTCAGCGTCTGAGTTCTGTCAAGCGTTTCCCCAATTCAATCTTGAGGACAAGATTGACTCTTTAAGGGAGGAGGGATTTGATAGGGACCTTAAACCAGGAAGAGAGGTGATGGACATCCATGGAAGCGAGGGAGGAGAATACAAGATAAAGGGACCAGAGAGGAAGAAGAACACGCAACTGAGGAGGGGTGACCGAGTCAAGCTTCCAGCTAGGTGGACCAAGGATTATGTGCTTGATACACGTGGGTAGGATGTGTCAAGGAAGTATTCGACCGCTCAGTGTGTGGCTGGGCTGAGTGTAATAAGTCAGCAAGTATAACTTGGGCTGAATATAGTAAGTAGGACTTGATGTGTATTGGGCCACTTCGTTTTAGCCCATTATCCATGTATTTCTGTTTCAGTATAATAGGTGGGAAGGAACGGTGAGAGGGTAGCTAAAACCTTGTAACAAACTTGTTTTCTTCTTCATCTCAACTTCTGGAGTAATCAGCAAACTCGAATTGCTGAAATATAATATACGTTGTTTCTTTAATTCCTTGTTCGCGTGTGAAGTAATAGCTTGAGGCTATCACTTTTGCTGGCTATTTCTAAAGAAAAATTTAAAAACTATTCATACAATAACAGTAATTTAACAAATGCAGTCAATTAGTAGTATTCCACTAAATCATTATTGAGGAAACTATATTGCTTGAGGGAAGAACTAACCTTAGTGTCAAGCATAATTGCAATCACATTGTCCTTGGTTTGTGCATTATATTCTTTAACCAAGTCAATAACTTTTTGATGAGAAGCATGGTCTCCATGAGACATATTGAGGCGAGCAACATTCATCCCAGCCTCAGCCAGCTTCCAAATCATTTCCTTGGTATCTGTAGAAGGTCCAATAGTACATACAATCTTTGTCTTGCGCCTATACGTGGGCTTCGACCACATTCCACCCGAAGTGTCACCGAATTGCTGCACCCCACGTAAATGCTGCAAATGCTCCTCAATCTAATCACCATAACACAAAAAGGGGTCACAACAATTTCCTCAAAAACTCACAACCATTTGCATTCTCCATCATTTTCATCTTCTAAAATTTCCATACTTCCAATCATTTTCTCAACAACCAAACAATAAGTAAGTGCAAATTTATAGAAAGAGTGACAAAAAGCACGAACCTTTGGGTCATCTTCAGGTGAGACTGGGATGACTTCAGTAGGTGCAGATTTCCTTGCATTGATCTGAGAACTTCTGAAGCCAATTTTGGAGCATTTGTTCCCTTCTGATGAGAAAACCTTGGAAGAAAAAGTTGCAGGCTTTAAGAGCTTTTGAGCTCTGTCATGTGCAGATCCAGAACCGGGGCACAAAAGGGTGCTCTGAATGGATCGCGTGGCCACAACCTGTGCCATTGTTTGAGAGAGAGAGTAGGTTGGAAGGAAAAAGAAAAGGGTGTAGTGAGCTATAAGAAGAAAGATGGCAATGGAGATTGAAAAAATCGCCGCAAAATTTGGCGGAGGTTCTGAGAAGAAAAGGTTGGGACTTGAGAACGAGGAACCTCGTTTGTATCGAACAAATCAATATTTAACTTAAGACATTTGGTACGGAGAAATTTTTTTTATCCGGAATCTCGATTTTTAAAAATATAATTTTTATATTCCGTTTATGATAATATTTGAAAATTTAAAATTTAAAAAAATTTAATTTCTCAGACATTTTGAAAAAATGACGCGTACCAATGCCCTCTTAATGTTGGTTGTCCAATAAAGTTGTTATTGTCCATGCTTTTATTAAGAAACGACAAATTCAATATTTATATCACAGGAAAAGCTGTGTCATTTTTTAAAGAATTTAAAGTTGTGTTATTTTAAATGAAAGAAAAAGATAAATTATGAAGAAAAGATAGTGGACAAAAAAAAATTCATGAATTCCATATTTTTATGAGAGTAAAATAATACAAATTATATCAATTAAAATGACAAATATTTTTTCCTATATCATATGTCAACGTACTAGAAATGTCGTTTTAATATGCATGATTTTGGCCTAACAGAGAAGAAGGAGATGGTAATAGTGTAATAAGTGTAATACTTAAGAGCCAGTTTTTTTTTTTTTTAGCTTAAATGATGGCAGGTTAAAAGACTATAGATGTCAGCATACATATAAAAGTTAATTAAACTTGTTATTTCTCTCTCATGTGCTTAGGAGAGGTACGGTAACTGATATGTTTCTGAAAAAAGATTTATGCAGCAATTTGGATTAAAGTGTTAATTGTTGGCATTAAATTGAAGAAAAATATTATTTGGATCCATTACATGTAACAAAATCTTGTATCACGTGATTCTAGTGTTTTGTTTTGAATGAATAATTTGAATGGCTTATGCAGCAATTTCAAGCTCAAAAACTTAGAAAATAGAACTGGCCCAAGTCAGCATTGCTTTGGAGAATAAGATAGGAAAAAGAAAAAAAAGAAAGAGGGAAAAGGAACTATTGATGCACTCTTACCTCAATCAGAAATTTAAGACAAACTCAACGAGCCCTAACCCTTTTCTTCTCCGATCGGCCATATCAAATTAGACTGCTTAGCCATCTTGATTTCTATTATCCGTCGAACCATAACATAAACCAAGCCCTCAATTGTGATTCTTGTTGAGCTAGTAATCAACTAATCCCAATCAGTCCACCATAGCCACAAATCAAACAAACCACATATAAAGAAGAATCTTTTTTTATTTTGCGAATCTGAGGTAGTTACTGGCTGATGATGCATTGATTGATCTAATCGTGTGAGAGGAGGCACGTGGATAGTTAAAGATTAGCTCACGCAACTGATGCATTTAAGGATGGAGCGTTATAAAAAGAGATAGTGCATAAATGTAGGGGTCTTCTTCTTCCTGCTTCTTGGTTGACATTATTTTTAGAATCTGTTTTTATTTTTAGTCTTACAGTAGCAAAGCTGATCTTATGATTTAGCCTCTCCTTAGTTTGATTTTAGTTTTTAATTGTTATTTTCCTTTTGTTTCATTAACTCTTGGGGGTATGAGCTAGTCCTTTTAAAGGTTGGTTTAGGTGATACCCAAACCACAATGCTTGGATGAATGTTTGGTTTTCTGGATTTTTATGTTTTATCTTAGTTGTTTAATGCTATTTCTGTGTTTAAATTTTCTGCAGTCCAGCCGGATGTTAGAGGATTCCGGATGTTAGAGGATTATTTAGGAATTAGTTGTTGAGAAACAACTCATTCTGGACTCTGCATTAAGCTCACAGACTTGAATCAGAGATTGACGTGCGCTGTCGAATCCACGCAAATTATCGAGCTTTAGGTTTGTAGTGATAGGACAACTCGGATCGTCTCCCAAAGAACCTGCTAGAAATTAAAAATGTTCTGTAAAATAAAATATAAAAAGGGAAAGGGAGATTTTGTTGATTGGAAATTAAAATAAAAACAGAATTGAAAAAATGATTTAAAAATCAGAATTAAAAGCAATCAACGTAAGGAATTAGGATTCATTAATTTATTTCGTCATTGGATAAAAATAAATTATCAATTTGTGATTAACCCCAATTAAATTCGGAATCCTCAAATTCAATTGGAAACTCTCTCGAGACTATCGCCTAGTGTTTGGTTGAATACAATATTTAAACTATGCAATCGCAGTAATTTAAATCTGTTCAAATTATGTTCATTGGTTAATTAATCTGATCATTAGATCTAATGATCAATTTTCCTTTATAGAATGCAATCGCATTATTCAGTTTGAATACCTACAATCGCATGATATTCAATCTGAATTGGAAAAAAATGAAATTGATTTAAAAAATTTAAATATATCCTCTGAAATAAACTAACGAACCTTTAATCCTAAGATTGATTAAAGGTGTTTAGCCCAGCATCGCAAGGTTAAACATCAATCAATATAAAATAAAAGAGAAGAAGAAGATGAAAAGAAAAGAATGCAGAATCTTGAATTTCAAAGAAAGACTTCCAAACAATCGTTTAATCCAAAATCTGACTGCCGAAGGGTTTCCTAAAATTTCCCTTAAATAACTCACATTCAGAACGGGCTAGAGTTCCACTACTTCGGCCCATACATAAAATAAAAACTTAACAAAATAAAATAAAATATTAAAACATGGCATTGTGCCCTAAACACATTGGGTTCTAATTTAATTTACAAGTCCAAAATTCAAAATAAAATTCCAGCAAAAACATGTCATCTTGGGCTCAGGTTTCCACCATCTTATTGTCCGAATTGGGCTTCAGTGGCTGAAATAGAGATTGTAGCCCTTTCTGTTAGCTGCAAAACGCAACAAGAAAGGAGTTAATAGGACATATGTAGATTGAGATATAGTCAAAATACGAAAGTAGTATAAATTTAGAAAATTCTGACGAAAATCAATTAAACCCAATTAAAATCTAGAATTCTGATTTGACTCAAAAGACCTTTATTTAACTCAAATAAATCCTAAAAATAATAATCAAAAGTAATAAATAAGTGTAAGAAAATATGTGTTATCAGAGATCATTCAAGGGTTCTCACTTTAGACATGAATGAGTCCTCTATGTAAAATTGGACCTGAGTCTCAAGAGTCATAATCTCATTTGGCATAGAGATATGTAAGTGGTTGATTTTGGATAAAATAATTCTTAGAGATTAAAAATTAACGAGTGAGTTCCGTTAACTAGAAATTTTTGGATGAGCAACTTGTTAAACAAATCATTCTTTCAAGCACGGTGGGGGAAGGAGAACCAAAAACTCAACTCATTTTTCTAAATATTTTCACCAACTCATTTTCTTTTCTCTGTTTTAGCATTTGATCAACCTTCTAGTTTACATTTTTCTCTAAAAATTGTTTACATCAAAAACAAAAACAAAACACTTCTTAAATTGATTTCTTATTGCTTTCCATCTTTTAGAACAATTGAATCCAAAATTAATTCAGAAAAGTCTAAAAATAAAATAGTAATGTAGTCATTGCTATTTCAGATTAGTCTTGTGATTATTTTATTTTTATTATTATTTTCTTTTTTAGATTGAATTTAGTTATAACAAATTCAAATTTTATAGTCAAGTTAAAAAAGCCAAAGATCCTTATGGGAACGATAACTGGACTCAAACAAGCTCTACATTACTTGTTGTCATGTATACTTGCGCGGATACTTGTATAACTGTTAGCAAAGCAACAAGTTTTTGGCGCCGTTGCAGGAGATCAAAAGCGTAAAAAAATCATATAGTTTGAATTTTTTTTGTGATTGCTGAACTGCTGTTAGTAGTATTATTGTTGAGCAGTTTATCTCGTATGTGTTTGTATTTTTTTTTAATTATGTTTTTAGTTAAGTTGCTTTTATTTTTTATTTTTTTTGTTGTTTTTTTTTCTTCGTAGTAATTTGATTTCTTTTATATATTATTTTTGTATTAGAGTTGTTGTTATCAGCGTCTTGATTACACTGTTGTTCTACTAATTTTCTTGTTATTTTTTATTTGTTTTATTTTGTGTTTTTATCTGTTGAAGTTTGTTTTTCGTTTAATTTTTCAATTTTCTTCCAAAGTTTGTTTGCTACCATGTTGTCCCCTATCTAAATTGAAATTTTTGCAATCATCTATTTTGTATTTTGAGATTGGGTGCAGCAACAATTTTGTTGGTTTTAGTTGTTCTTTTTATTTTTAATTCTTAGGATTAAGTTTCGTTGATATTTTTTTGTTTTTATCATTTTTTTGTTATTCTTGTTGGTATGTTGTGCTGATATCTGAATACGGATTATACATGGCAGATATATCTCTTATCTTTTCAGATATTGTTTGTGAGTCTTCCATTTCTGTTAATTTTCTTTTCGTCTGTTAAGTTTTTGTTTGTTAATTTTTTTTTTTAATTTTGCTAGTTAGTACTTAGATTTTTTTAGAAATAAGAAGTTGTTTATGACTAGTTCTCCACTCCTATGTTGCACCGACACTGACACAAGACACGGGATACGACACGACACTCTGATATGTTAATTCTAAAAAATGTTAGATTTCGACACATTAGGACACGTTTTGATATTAAATAATATTTTTTTATTTATGTAGTGTATATTATATTTAATATTCAATAATTTAACAAAAAAATGAAGCTAGACTTATAATACCAATCAATTTTGCAAAAAAAACATAAGATATCCTAAATATTTATATTAAACTCAATAAAATAGTAATCGTAATACAACAAATCTAATAGTTGGTACTAAAATGCAACTCAATGCAATATTTGAATTCATTTTCGAGTCTCTAGAATGCGTGGTTGAGTATCGGAGAGTGTCGGAGTATCGGGGAGTGTCAAACACGACACACCAAGGATTTTGAAGTGTTAGGGTTTCATAGCTCCACACCCTTTCCTAGAAGCCCGTGATCTTTTAGAGAAAATGGATCAAAACTATTTCCAAA